TAAATTTTTAATTTATTTATTTCTTCATCCTCGTAAAAAGGAAAGATGTCACAGCAACTTTGGATATTGTAGGTATATTGCCATTCATAAACTAAAATGAAAGAAAAGTTCGCTGGGCGTACCCAAAACTATAAATAAGCATTTAAATACTATTGTGGTAAACATAAGCCATTCTACTATCATTACTACATGGCCTATTACTTACATACATCTTTAAAAATCTCAAACAATTATCCCAACTTCTAGGTTTTCATCAGACCTCAGCTATCAATTTCCACTTCAAACACAAACCGTGACACACTATGCTATTCCCTCCTCAAAACAAAAACACTGAATTACAAACTAACAAAATTAAAAAACTCAAACTTGGCTACAAATCATTGTTGGTGTGAGTAGTTTCATTCACAGAGCTAATGTTTGAAAACATTCTCATTAAATGCTAGAAAATAATTCGTTGGAAAAAAAATTGATGTGCCAGACAAGGGCCAATCATATTTAGGGTTGACTCTTGACTTACACATAAATAACGCTAATAAGAAAATTTAGACGTAACGTGTTATGAGTCTTTTTAAAAATCTCACTTTCAAACCTGAAAACTTCTTTCTTGTTAAAGGTGAGTAATACCGCGCTGTATACAAAGCTACTCTTAGTCTTACGTACATGACATGGTACTATAGAACTAAGTATATTACACATTTTCCTTGGTTTTCCCTATATTTCCCTCCTATTATTAACTCTTTACCAATATAAGACCAGCGGAAAAAAAGTGTTAATAGATCAATGATTAACTTGAAGGCGATTCCGACGATAAATTGCACTCAGTTAATGCAGTGTTTTCCTGCTGTTTGTCTATGTCGTTTTTCAACGAGTCTTGAGTGATACATTGGTCGCTCTCACCCTTCTCTCCACAATCTTCAAGACTTGTCTGCCTTTCTTTTTCATCATGTACAACATCATTCTCATTCCGATCCTGATTTTTCGAGATTTCCACATGTTCAATGCTTTTGATGTCATCAGTATTCTGTTTCGTGATGGTTGTATACTGCGCAACAGCGGCTTTCCAGAGCGCCGATGCACTCTGTGAGATGAATATCTTGCTCCAGTCAAGGAACCCTTCCCAAAGCACTATGGCTCTAAAGATAAAGCCATACTGATCAAGAAATACCTGGTTCTGAAGATGTCTTCTCATCTCTGTAGTAAGCATGTCGATGGTGGTGTTATCCTTGGCTAGATCCACAGGCATGTCGCCATCGTGATTGAAATAAAACATGTCCGCACCAAAGATGACGAGTAGGCTAGCGGCTTGTCTGAATCCTGCCGATGCAGCGGAGTGGAGCGCCGTGTTGCCGTTGATGTCTTGGAGGGTGACATCGGCATCGGCACAGAGCATGATCTTGACAGTGTCCAGGTTTCGGTTGACGGTGGCCTGCTGAAGAAGACTCATACCCGAGTGGTTGGTGGCGTTGATATCTAACCGGGCCCCATGCTGATCTAGAAGTCGTACCAACTCCACATTGTCTTGCTGTTGTACAGCACATTGGAAGCTCACCTGGGCGGGAAACGTGATGCGTCGTCTGCTGCGACATGTCGCAGTACCTTCTGAAACGGCGTCGTCCGATAACGATCCACTTGTCATCACCGAGGCCACCACCTCTGCGATGTCGTCGTCGGTAACATCTGAAGCACTTGCAGCTCGTGGAGGGTATGTCCGACATCGTTGACGTCGGTGAGGCGGTGGCAAGGTGAGCTGCTGAGAAGCCACGGTGGAAACTAAAGATGGTGCGAGGCGGTATTCCTAAAACAAAATTCCAAGGGACTCCTAGTCCTACATACGAAACAGTGAAGCGACTCTATAATATAAGCCGAGCAAGAGTTATTGCAAACATGAATATTCATATCACAGTCATAATCACCGTCGTTTCACTCAAACACTTTCCTTACAATAATCCAACGATTAAAATCCATCTCAATTGTTGATTTACTTCCACACGATTTGGCACAAAAGAAAATAAAGTGCAAGGGAGTGTGCCAAACAGTGCACAGTTCACTGTCCAGTGTCCATGGCCGCGCTCAACGTGCTGCATGTAGTATTGCGTGTAGCATTGCATGTAAACACGAAAGTTTCCAGGGCATAATATTCCCAGCGATCATTTGAAGGAAATGCTGGTACTGAAACTTGTCGATTACTTGCAAACGACACCCTTATAACGAATTCAAATTGGAATATCCGCCCAGGAACAAGCGTCTCTGTCTATAACAATGTTTTAGAACCATTCTAGAAAGGAGTGCGGGTTTTGGCTCTTCACTGGGGACGTCAACGTAAATTTATTCCGTCTGCTCCTCGACGAGCGCCTCGTTCAAATAACTCACCCGGTCGGATATATCGGACAGCGCACTTCCGTAGATCGTGTGTGGTGCGAGGTTTGGGGGAATTGCAATCTAGTTCAGAGAAAATCGTTTGCTCTCTCTCTCTCTCTCTCTCCCTCTCTTTTACCACATACCCACGCCTGGTACAGTCCCGTTTCTCCAAATGAATCTACACCATCAAACCGTTAGAAAATACAACAGGTTTAGTAAACAATGCACATCGATTCAAAGGTGACGTTTTCTTTCATTTAAACATTGTAAAACTATGAATAATATACGTTATTTCCTTTTCCAGAATTACGTTGGTAAACATTCCTCCAGTTTATGATCCTATATAGATTAATCCCATGTTTATTTTGTCAGATTCCTGGCATTGTATCAATAGAATCCCATGTGTTTATTATTCCAACCCTCTACTTTTCACGGGTTTTTGTTGATATTTCCGCCTTCCTTTTGTGAACTCATATTTCATCTCTTTCATGACGAATCCGGGTCACGGTCATATTTCTCTGCGATCAATACTCTCTTACCGCCAGACGAGGGACAGCTTCGCGTTGCACTAAACCCCGTCTGTTGTATTATCGTGGGAATTAAAGGCTGTATTAATCTTTGAGAAGATGGATATGATTTTAGAATGGCGGCGGGTAGGGGGGGGGGGGGCGGGAGAGCTTCGTTATGGAAGTGGAACGGGTAAGGGGTTGACGGTCTTGTTGTGGCAAACATCCATGAAGTAAAATCAAATTAATCAATAGAGTAAGCTTACTTTATCATTTTCGAGAACATGTGTTTTTCTTTTCAAAAGCATTGGTGAATTCCTCCTGAATACTGAGGAGAACCAAAATAACACCCGAAGTGATATTTATTATTCTTTATCTATGCACGTTCTGGGGTTTTAAAATTGAAGCACAGCAAGTGCCCACCCTCCCCCCCCCCCAACACACACACACTTGGCGGCCTTAAACAGGAAATAGAGAGAGCGACGGAGGAAAAGGAGACACACACACACAAAAAGAGAAGAGAGGATAAAAATCACGACCCTTAAATATTAGGGTCTGTGTGCATTACAAGAAGAAAATTACAAATTCTATCGCTCGTGACGGCCATATCGGAGGTTCTAAAACTTTCTTATCAGGCTCTGAAATATGACCATGTTGTATACTCATACATGACTGTATATGAGATCATTAGTTGAGGTAGTATTAATAACGTAGGTAAGTTGAGATTAGTGAGCGTTATCATTGTATATGCTAGTGTTAAAAAAACATCGGAGAAATTGTTCCCTGAAAAGCATGGCTCTTGAAATGCCTTCATAATTCTAAATAAATTATGACAAGTAACAGCTTAAAAATGAGGCCCACGTTTTTTTTTTGCCACATGTTTGTTACTCTACCAAAACTGGGCCAAATTTGTTATCATTTTGATGATTCCAGAAGCTTGCAGTACACACCAATATGCTGCATGATCAACTTTTTTATATCGATTCCGCACTGTTTCTTTCACAATGCAATTGCATGACCAGAACTATTTGAACTATTGGGTAAAAGATTATGATGATTGTCTCGTTTTATTAGAGGGCTCTAACACACTAATTGAAGAAAGTAAATTTATCCAAATAAATTTCAAATGTATGATTTACTCTGATTCATCATATGAATATAATTGTATTGATGCAAACACTGTGTGCCCTCTCCCCCAACCCCACTCACCCATTGCGCAACGATAAACTTTGTAGCCTACAAATATAAGACCACGTTTAGTGATGGCGCTGTTGCATGTGTCAGGTTTTGCCACATCACCTCCGCAGAGCCATTTCTTCTAAATAATCGGCCAACAACATAATGCTTAGCATGGACTGTGAAAGGTTTATACAGTGCAGTAAACTGGCCTAACATAGGAACTTCTGTGTGTGTGTTGTAAATTATTTCATTGGCTATCAAGGGGTGGAATGAAAGAGGGGATGGTAGACATTGGGTAGTTGAAATCATATTTCGGAATAGTGTATGACCAGTATCATTCTTCTTCTTAAAGCCTCAGATTCTGAAACAAAATCCTGGATTTTGATCATGCTGCAATCATCATTATAAACATTGCGGTCAGTCAGGAATCCCATGACTTCTACAAGCAGATCGCCTGTCTGATTATCAAGATATTTTTGATTGGAAATCGAAATTTCATTTTTCGTTTTCCTAACGGTTTTTTTAACACTACAGTCTATTGGGGGAAATGAGAATGGTAAAACCGGTCACTCAAAGATTTTTACTTTTTTAGGCACTTCAAATTTCAATATTACTATGGCTTTAGCCGAGCTGCTAAAATACGCTGAAAGGTTTCAAGAATCTGCACCTGGGTTGAGAGTAGTACATTTAAACCAATGTGAAGCTCAAATTTTCCTGCCAACGGACATTATTCCCCCTGCTTAGGACTTGAACCATGGACCATGTTATTCACAATCTAGCAACTAATACACTAAGCCATGCACGACACTTACAGAAAACAAATAAACAAGCGAGCAAGCAAACAAAAAAACTGATTAGGTTCTGAGCATTATTCTAGTTCAATGTAGCCCGGTCAACACGATTTACAAATGTGTGTGTGTATATATATATATATATATATATATATATATATATATATATATATAAAGATACTACTCATAAAGAATGACACAGATTATAATAGTAAGAATTGTGTTTTCATTGTTTTATTCACTGCAAATCTTATAAAAATCGGTGCAAATCACATTCTCAATATTCATGTAAATCACTTTCTAATTTCTCAAATAAAAGTCAATTTAATGGATATCTACAGACTTCAAAGAGTCGTCAAATATACTTACATAAAATAATATGCATACCTAAAAATATTGAATTAAAACAAATCTGAATCGTTACTAAATGATATTCATATGTATCATAATACGCAGCTATATATTTTTTCGATAGTAAAAGGAGGTTTCTAAGTTACATAATTACATTATGTATAAATGGTATAATATTTTGAAAACTAAATCATTTTAAAAAACGGCACACACTTTACTTACTCAATGCTATCTATATTATGTGCTATTTTTTTTTATTACACTCACAACGTCGATTTTGATCATAGTGTATACATCCACTAGGGGTAAAAGATTCATTCAGCACGAATTATCTGTATGGAATTATAAACATTGTGATTAATGGTATTGATGTATATCTGGAGGGTTTAAAGGGAAACATTTGACGATTTACAATTGGTAAAAACAGCATTATTATGTAGGCCTATTACCACTGACATCTGAGATATCAATCCATAAAATCTGACCCAAAATATTGTTCAGTCAGTACTCAGAAGATACTCGAGACATCACAATGATAAGGAAGGTCATAATGTTATTGTTATGATTATTTTGTTATAAATATATAGGTAATTATGTTGGGAGGTACATTTGTAGGTCTGGATCGTATAGTGTTTTCAGCTTTTAGTGATGATAAGACGAATGGCTACCCGTCGCAGATGGCGCCCTAGGTGAGGTACTGGCACCACCGTAGCTTGGCATGACATTGTCCACACCCGGCATACCGCCACCCATACCACCTGGTCGTCCTACCACGTTATTCATGTAATCCATATAGGAGTTATCGGCGTCTGCAGCCTTGGCCATCTTACCCTTCGGGGCGGGGTTGTTGGTGGTGTCAACTGTTCCATTGACAACCCTACCGTCATTACCGACCAGAGCCACAGGGGGAGGGGCAAAGGGTCCCACGGCAAAGGGTGGGGGCGGCAGGTCGTTGTAAGGGTTCTGCTGGGCGTACCCGTAAGGTGGGGGCGGCGGCTGGGAGCCGTAGCCTGGAGGCATGGGGTTGGCGACGGAGTTCTGTAAAAGGCAAGGATATGAATACCACGATGATATTAGGTGATAACATATAGGGGAACCAATTGCTATAATTATAAACTGCATATGCCACCATTTTGCTGTCCATACAGAGATAGGAAAACATCCGCATTTAATTTAGTATGTTAGAATGTCAAAATGTATGTATGCCTATCTTACAGCGAATTTGATCAAACTATGAAAAAAAAAATTGATTCCTAAAAGTAACCTAGTGACTAATCAGTATTCATTTATGCACAAGCAGTACACTCCATGATACACAAGTGGAAGTATTCTTTGAAAAGGGGGAAACAAAAGCTATTTATGTAGCGTCTCCATCGCTGTAGGAGTAATTATTTCAAAATGTACAAAGTTGGATTTGTTCATGTTTTGAAAATCTGTGGGTATTCGGGGTCATTTGGGATATGTGCTATTGGCAGGCCTGTTTGGCTGGTTGAAAAATCTGGCCAACAATGATAGATCAACCTCAACTTGGTAATTTTCATGAATTTCAAATCGCTGGATCTGATAATAGTCAATAGATACACATTATCTGATAAATCAAAAGAGCAAATAAACAAAGATCAAAATAAATTCAAATAAAGAAACAATGTTGTTGATACATGGATTATGAGCAATCAACAACTATACATTTTGCGTTCTCTTTACACATAGATAAAAAATTAAAAATAACTAATATTTATTTATAATTTTAATGAGAATTCATTAATTCACGGTGGAAATTTCATTACAAAAAATATATTGAGGATTAAAAGAGCATAGCACTCACTTGTTGTGGAGGTGGTGGTGGTGGTTGACTGGATTGACCGCTCTCGACGCTGGTAGAAGCCACTGCTGACTTCTTATTAACCCTCATCACCATACAGATCAGTAGTATCACCACAAAGATCAGAACAATGAATCCAGCAGCGCATCCAATGGCGATATATAGGACCAGACCTGTAGTGAAGAGAAATTAAACATGATGTTAATGATCTCGAGTATCTTTTTTCATAATCCACGTCTTAATGTGCCACGGTAGCTCTAATATAAACGTATGTTGCGGGAGCGTCTGCGAGCCAGGGCGGTGTTTCACGAAAGAATCGTAAGTTCAAGTTCGCCGATATCCCATTGAAACGTGCATGTTTTAGATGCGTTTCAGTGGAATGTCGGCGAACTTGTAACGATAATTTATAAAGTTCTCGTGAAACCATGCCCTGGTCACGTTACAATGATCCCAGGCATTCATACAAACAGAAACACATGAATAGGTTTCACTGATAATTATTCCGGAATTGCACTTTGGATGGGCATTATGACTAACTTTTGTTTCCTCTTTCGAAAGGAACACTTGCACCTGTATATCATGGAATGGAATGGAATGCTGCTTCGTTAATCAATACTTATTACCATTACAATAAACTATGAGTACATCTCCAGTTGGTACTAATAACCTTTTTCTGTTCATGCGCACCGACATAGCAACAACATGAATACAAAATGGAATGCTATTATAAAGAACAGGCGGATGGAATAAGTCGTCACCAATGTTTTTATCAGTAAACAAGACTGTTTAACAGAGCACAGGCATTTTACATTGAAATACTAGGATAACATGATTAATTATCTCTCATTTCGAAAAGAACCAATTCAAAACAAAACAAGAGGAATTATTGATTTCATGGCGTTACACCTCTGGGATCTGTCCTTATTTGACTTTAACTTTATTATATTCTATTCAAAAATGATATCAGTTTTTTTCTTGTGAACTATGGGTGACAGTAGTATGCAAGATCCCACAAATGTTATAAATAACATTGTTGTACAGCAGAAATCGTTTCATGTCTTAATGTGAAAAACAAAGATAAAATTGAAATGATTGGTACTTACTTGTTAATCCATCAAGTTCATCAGCTGTGTTAAAAGAGAGACAACCGAAATAAGATTGAATACAAATCAAAATTCAGATCATAAAGGTTTACCTCTGATTTGGTATTGATTTAATCACTTTCGATCATCGGCAATCAATTGCGACTTTCTAATTTTTCTTTTCTTTTCAGTACGAGTAATAAATTATTCATAGTTTCTTTCTTTCCTATTTAAACTGCTATAAAGCTTTCGTTTTGTTTTGTTCTTGTTTTTTCCTACTTTGGGTTAGGAATTGAGACATTGTGAATTCAGTGCTCATCTCCTAGCCAGCTGTTACCTTCGAATGATTTTTTTCAAAAAGAATTTATAAGTCGATGATTATAGAATTTCTGTATGTGCGTGCACTGATCGAACATAGTAGAATAAAGGAAAAATAAACATCACAAACATAAAGATGAATAAATTAATAAACTTAAAAGCAGCTCCCCGATTGTGCAACAGTCTCCCTAACACACTTAAGGACTATAAATCAGTAGATAGTTTCAAGGCCAGCCTGAAAACTTATCTAAAGGCCAACTTTAACTAATATCATCTTCTTCTTTTTTTTTATAAGCATGTGTAATGTAATGTAAGCAAAATTATATCTAAGTATATTATGTAGCTCATTGTAAGCGCCTTGAGCACCCTCTGGGTGGATATGTTGCGCGTTATAAATGTCTGTATTATAATTATTATTATTACACGGTGATTATCTTTCGTTCAAATTCACCCACTTTTAATTCCGCTTGAAATGTGATTGTGTCGTTAAATTGCACTGTAGGTCAAAAACATGTACTCACATTCTGCCGTTGGAGGTGGCGTCTCCGTGGTCAGGACGGGCGATCCGATGACGGTGAACTCTGTCAAATGGGTGCTCTCACACGACACCGTGCTACTGTCCACCGTGGTCGATGTCAGACCATCCGTGCTCCAGTCGTTGATGTCATAGTCCCAGAAGACACAGTCGTAAGAGACACCGGTCAGGGAGACGGTCAGAGGGAAGGAGATGGTCACCGGTGTGGTCAGGTCACTCACGTTCAATTTGGCACCTGCATGCATGCATACAAAGAGGATAATCAAATTAGTTTTCTAGTCGAAAAACGAAGACCAATTCGGGCAGCTTGGAAAGAGATGATTATTTACAAGAACACATTTATGCAAAAAGCAACCTCACAAATCAAATATTTATGTGTAAACACTATGTCCCGTATTCTGAAGTCAGGTTAAGTTAAACCTGGTAAAGCCGAGTTTAACTAAACCAGACTTCAGGTTTAAGTATAATTTCAGTTTCTGAAAGCCAGGTTTAGTTAAACCCGGGTTTAAGTCTAGTCTAGACTTAAACATAGGTCTAAAGTTAAATCTGCCTTCAGAATACGGGCCTATTATATTGAAAATGAAGACGCACATTGTACTGACAACAAGCGTGCATATGCACATATTCTCAAGAAAATATGTAAATGATCTTGACTACATTTCTTACTCGACTTGTCTCATAAAAATGTTTTTCTAACCTAACGTCATTAAAATATATAATATAGGACTATAGTCATGGTAGTAGCGACAAAATAAAGCAAAAGCCAATCGTATTAGAGTACTGTTAGAGTAACATACCAAATAATCCAGATTACCGGATTGAGATAATTTAGAGGTTTCGGTGTGCATGACTCCGTGTTTCATTAAACAAATTCCATTCCAAACTCGATCATAAGTTGCATTATATGAGGTAACGGCGCTGACTAAGGTTTACTTTTGGGTGTCATGGCACTGACAATGAATGTCAAATGGGGGTGATAGAGCCATTAAGATTAATCAGGCAGTACCACCTGTGCGCTTAGAAACGTCTGTATAAAGCGCCCTATAAATGTGATTATTATTATTATTTTATTTACCTGTCGATGGGTTTGACAGTTCGATGCTGATGATATCAGCTGCTCGATAATTGAGATCATCGTCATCAGTGGAGAATGGGTCATTGTCGGTTGTGTAATGAGCGAAGGTAATGGTCACTCCGGAACATGTCTCTCCATCAGCACAGCTCCAAGCGCTCCCGAACCTGTAAGAATGTAATTATCATGATTATAGTTATGACATTGCAGAAGCAAACAAATGTTTTAAGGGGAAGGGGCTTAGAATAAATGATTTTGTGCAATAATACAAAAATCGTACACGCTCCGAATTCCTGGTTTACTTTGGCATAACGGATCTCATTAGGGTACATGTATGTTGCAGCCTGACAGGTTGGCTGCTCGAATGTCCGAAACAATTCTTTATCTTAGTGCCCCTTCTTACAGCCCCCGTCAGTTTGCTTTTGGGGAGGGAGATTTTGGTCCGAGCTGTAATATTTATATCTCCAATGTACACAGGTATTATGATTGTAGACAACATTTGAAATCAAATTAAATTTGGTTACATGCGATGCCATAATTGTCTTATTGTCTTATTCCCCATTTCAAGTTTGATCTGAAACGCTACTGTTTCCAAGAGAGAGTATTTGAAGTATTTAGTCAGTTAACTTCCATACAGGGAAATTATTTTTCACAATTTACTCTTAAACCATTCGGCAGGACTTACAGACTGTTGAGTTCACTGCCAAAGTCAATAGTCGCAGCTCCAGACCCTGTACTAGCAGATGAGAAGCTGCCGGTCAGGAGAGCCCTCATGACACCGACTGTGATGTCGGCTGAGATGATCTCCTGTCGAGGTGCACCAAGCGCCAATGAACCCGTCATTGATGTCGTGATCTTGCCGGTGATTTTACTGTGATGTAACGGAGAGAGATTGGAGGTCATAAGTAGAGAATATAACAACTGATGATTAACGGCGAATGGAACGGTAGAATAGTATTTAGGAAAGTTGGAAATACGAGATAATATACATGTTTTGTATAAACAAAAACAAACAAAAGTCATCTCTCAACCCACTAGTGCTCATCATTGGAAATAATTAGAGTCTATTTTAGATGGCATATTTATTTGAACCTAAGTGACCTATATATACTCACAGATGTACGTATTTTTGTCATTTTTTTTGACGGACAGTTTTGGAATGAAAAGGTATATAATGATAGGGAAGTTAGAACCCAACAATGTTAATGATATAATTGATTATGGACTTGTGCAGACTGAAAGATAACGTGAAGATGTAGTGGAAAGAAAAGAGTCAAATTTAAAATGCATGTTTGTAGAAAATGTACATCTCCTGGCCATACATTCTTACGCTCCCCTTGTCACGCAACGATACTCCTCCTTTACAAAGCATTTCAAGACATTTGGAGCCGAAGAATTGACCACCAATATAACTTACTTTATCTTGTTGATCATGGCACCGTTGTCTGTGGCTGTGAGTCCTTCCCCGATGACGGCTAGCTGATAAAGGATGCTCTCGGCGCTGGAATCGGGAATGATCACATCTTCACTAACGTACACGTTCACGATCTGGATGATGTAGCCCAAGAATGTATCTGATGGAACGAAAATTAGATAGGTCAAATTCACTATATAATCTCCGAGTATGTTTTTTCGTGCTTTACAAAGGGTAGTGGTCGTTGAATAAGCGTTACATTCGGTTGGACGAGCATATTCCAGCGATAATTTTTTGTTCCTCCGCCATCAATTTCTAACAATAACCAAGTTCCTACCTTCAACCCAGACCTAACACTAACCCCAAACCTTAAACCTTAATTACATCTATAATCATAACCCTGTATCTTTAATGAAATAAAGCCGTGAGCAATGACAACGAGGCATGTGTCGGGTTTAGCAATCTGGACCAACAAAAATTGGTTTGTTCAAATTAATGATTGTGAGACTCCAGCAACGTTCTGTTAAGGGTTGGCAAGTGACCTTTTTTGTTTTCTACGTCGTGCTTTAACGTGACAAAATTAAGAGGTGTTGTGGTCGAGTGGATACGTCACCGGACTGTCGATCACAATTTTGGTCCGCGGTTCGAGTCCCACCGCGGCACTAATGTCCTTTGGCAAGACATTGATCTACATTTGCCACACTCAACCCAGGTGAGGTAAATGGGTACCTGGTAGGATTATTCCTTGAAATGCCCTGTGCGCTGATAAGGCTGCCGGAGCTAAAGCTAGGGTAATTAAGTCCAAAGCTCTTTGGAAGCGCATAGAGATGTTATTTCATAACGTATTATGCGCTATATTACAAGAACTGAACTATTATTATCTCACCTTGATCTTCCAACGACAACTGAGCTGGGCTTACAGCTGCGATCTGGTCGATGAGGATCTGAGCCGTGGTCGTATCAAGTACGGTGTTATCCAACACATTGGCGATCAGGACCATCTGTTCCGCTGCGGTGGCTGACGTCTCGTCCGAAGCTGTACGACGTCGTCTCGATTCCTCGTCCTCCACCTTAGAGGCCAGCATGTTGCGATTAGCCAGGGCTCCGATATGGTCACCTATACGAACAAGGGAAGTATTTGAGCATGAATTTACATTAACAACCTCCGTAGGCAGTTAAGCATACCGAGACGGTGGTTCACTCGAGCATATCAAATGGAGGGGGTGTGGCGGATCAAGTGTACGGTAAAGTTTGTCATTAACTGTTCAACAAAAACCCAAAGTCGCTAGAGATTAGCCAACAGGGATAAAAGCCGTACGTCAGCAATTTTTGTATTTTATAAATATTTTGTCAACAAGATTGTGTGTGAAGAAATTGTCATCAACATTGGCATTTTCCCCACGAGGTTCGAAGTATTGTAATTTTTTTCAAAAACAAATGGAATAGGTGTGTCCTAACCCCGCCACATGCCCCTAACGCCCGCCCTAACGCAAAGAGAGAGAGAGAGAGAGAGAGAGAGAGAGAGAGAGAGAGAGGCAAAAAGATGGAAACGAAGACGGACAAACGGACAGACAAATACATAAATAACAGAATACTCACCACCGAAAGTCTTTGCATTGACGAAGTCAGCCTTGAAGGAGTTGATGTCTGCAGCAGAGAAACTCAACTTCAGTGAAACATTCGTCCCGGCAATCCAAGTAGCACACATCTCGTTCTTATCACAAACCTTGTTTGGAGCAAATAGGGATACATTTTATAAACTTTCAACAGGAATTTGACAGGGGGTTGGTAGCCTATTGATTTATGATGGATGATAATTTTTTTCCTAAAACTTACGAAGCTATTTTTAGATTATGAAGTCAATGCCTATTTTATTGTAAACTGTATAATGGGAATACGATGTCCCACAGCCAAACGCAAGTTTGCTCGTCGGACCTACATGTAGGGCAGGAATAATTGTTTAACTAGCATTTACCTTCTGCTCAGTCCAAAACATGAACTTGATTGGTTATATCTTTTGCGTATAATATTTTAGTAATGCCCATTATTTTTAGGATTATCATCATTATCATGAAATGGTTCACCATACTATTATCGTCCTCATCATCATCATCACCATTATCATTACCACTGACACCACTATCATCATCTTCATCTTCACCACCACAACCGTCAACACCATCATCATCATTGGTATCAACTCACAGTGATGATGTATGTTCTGTTATCACTTCCTTCTAGCTTTGGTTTGCCGACACCAGTGAAACTTGGCTCGGAGTTCCTCTCGGTGATGATCTCCAGTTCGCCGTCGGCTTTGACCACGGAGAGCTGGTAGTTGAGTGGGTAGGCGTCAGCTGAGGTGACGCAGTTCTCCGTCGTAAACGTCACCTGTAATAAAATAAAAATTATTTCCACATCATTTTATTGTTTATGTTTCATTCTTGAGCCTGGAGGATGTCGATAATGTTGCGATCGTCTTGCTCCATGGTAGCGGTCATCCTAAGATTACTGTTTCAATCCAAATATTCTTCCTGCTTCTCTTAGAATGTTGTTTCATTTGTTTGTCCGAAATTCGTTTTCGTAATCATCACCTTCATCATCAAGAACTAAACGTTATCATCATAATTATCACAATACGTACTGACTGATGTCTTTCGCATTACCCATATTATAACTTTTCAATAGCAGCAGCACCATTACATCATCTCAATGGTTAAGCATTTTTTCCTTCAAATTGAAATAAACAGTATTATGGAAAGTGCGGTCTTATCGATAGATACAATCTCGTTAGTTCCCGTACAATTTCTCTTCAACTTCTTGGTTACAAAGCAATTTAATGTATCAGTCATCACTTCATCTCCTACATACAGTATGTAGAAAAATCACCACTATGAACATCCTTATCATCACCAACCAACATTTGGCTATCACTGACCTCATCAAGTTCCTCATAACTGGGTACGGAGAACTCGCACGATGTCGGTCCTGATCGGACTACGACGTAGCTCTTCACAGTACTGTACTGGTCATCTATGTCCGTTACGTTGAGGGAGAATGCATAGCTCGCACCACGCTGGACAATGTCTGCATTTTCGGAGGAAATATGATTATAAAGGGTAATAACCAGATAAAGCAGAGTATGTTCATTCATTTATAGCGAATCTAAATGCTTGTTGAAGTTCAGCTTCATGGCTCGCGTTCGAGTTCCACCACGGCCAAAAAATTTCCTTGGGCATTTGACACTTTCCACCAAGGTGTAGTACATGAGTGCCTGATAGGAATTTATTCCTTGAATATTTAAAGTACTTTAGGGCAAATGGGCTAAATTCAGGGTAATAATAATACTTTGCAGACGCCTTAAGCATCACCTGGGATGGATATGTGTACATGAACATTATAAATGGAGCTATTATCATAATCACATACTGCTGTGGTAGATTTACAAAATCATATAATTTACCCTTTTTAGCCCAAGACCAATTTGATGTGATATCTGAACCATCTAAATTAATTTTGAAAAACATATTCACTTTCATTACCACTGCGTACACAAGCAGCTTACAATGGAAAGCTTACATAACACAATTCAATTTTCATCGATAGCTACATAACATAATAATACAGATGTGACATGAAAACTGACCTCTATCAATAGTGATGGTTGCAATACTGAGACCATCCCCAGTCTCAAGGAGCTGTGCTTCTCCTAGCAGGTTTTCGGAATCAGTCAGGTCGATGTAAGAATAACCTGAATAAAACCAGAACAATATAATAGATAAATATCGACCCGGGCACCATTGTGGCACGGTTTCTCCTTTTATTTCGTGCCCTCAACAAATTCGCTGGGAGTATTCGGTTATTCATTATTTTTTCAAGAAAAACGCTAAAATCATTTTGTTGTTGATTTTACTGACGATTGATCGAAGAAATTCTTCTTCTTCAACAAGAACATCAATGACAGTACAACATGTAATATATCGTGCAGAGCAATAATGCATACACAGGTGATGAACTGATCTGAACTAAACAGATTTATACACACAAATAACACAAATGATAAAAAGGAGCCTAAATTGGAATGTATGAAAGACAAGCCTGGTTCTGTTTTTAGTGGTGGTGACGGTTGATATCGTTCAGAGTTCAAACCAAGTGACGAATCAAATCCGAAAAAAAAAAAGCCAGAGTTTGTTTTGGAAAGGTTGAGAGGGAACATGTGCGATTTGTAACCACTCCCTGGCTACGCCACTGTACCAGGTGTACATCAAATATGCTGTACAGTGCGTCCCAGAAAAACGAAACCGAGAATTATCGATGTTTTATCATAACTTAATCACAATTATAATTAATAAATGACACATATTTGTAAGGCTTATATCCTCTTCTTTCATTTGATGCAACTCAAATGATGCATATTTCAAGCATGAGTGATTAAAATCATTTTGAAGAGAGGGTAACAAAATGTCATTTGGCGGACGGTATCTGAATTTCAAAGAGAAAATCACATTTCTAGAAAGTTCATTTTCTGCCCTTTCATATGACACCTCAATCAGGAAAAATGAGCCAGTAATAACAAAGTTTGTTTAAAGTAATGCTTGCATTTCTATAATTTGATTAAACGAATTCGTTTTTACTGGCTGCCTGCCGTAGCAACAAACATAGTTGACAAAAGACTTAACACCGTTTCGTTGACGATCAGCCATGCATCAAGTCTTTCGTCTTCTTTGTGCATGGTTTCACTTATACTTATCTCCTCTAGAATTATCAATTTGTTTTAAATATAAAGTAAAGTATACAAATATCATGGATATATTTGAAAAAAATCTACCTGACGTGGTATCAACAGTGGCCCAGTCTACATTGGACAGATCTGATGAATGGAAGATATAGGCTGTCAGTTCGAGAGGTACGTCGTCGTTGATCACGCTGTCGTCATCGTTTGTAGTCAGGATTATCTGTCGTCAATGAAAGATACACGGGGAATGAAAAACACATTACACAAAGATCATCATGCAGATTATCTTAAGACTAGCCCAGGGGTGTTGGTACTGATTTTTGACAGATATGAACAGCCTGATGAAATTGGTGCAGGTGCAAGATTTCTGATTTGCTAGTATTCTGAGCGACTTTCATTTTTGGCTTGAAAAACGGAGCCGAAATTTACATCAATAAATTGAATTTTCAACCCTTACTCTACCAACATGAAAAAAAGTCCAAAAATAGTCATGCGTGTAGAACTTTACTACACGTTATGAAATCACACGACATGGAAATACTTTCCCGTCCACGTTGTACGACACTCAGCGTCAATTTTCTACACTAACCGGGTTCTTCACTTCAGCCCTGGACCTAACCATATACCTTACCCTAACCCTTACCCTAAACCTAGCCTAAACACAATTGCAACCATAATCCTAACCTCATACTTCTGACGAAAAAAAGCCCGGGGCAATCGTCTCGGTAGCAAATGTCGAATCACCCCAGCCCATCACCAATATGTCCAACAAAATGATTATTTTGTTAACTAAGATTATAGCATGCATTTGGACTCATATTTGTGTGGATGACACAATGTTATTCGCCCTCATGCATGTACTTAGAATTGTTTTTATTTCGAGTGCATGAAACGGTCTTTAAAGAATCAAAATAAGATATAAGGTCCTCCATATTATGGCGCGTTATACATGCAAACAAGGTGATTGAAATATAAATATTCTACATGACGACACTTTAATGATTGAAAATGAAGACAATGCAAACACATATTGCTGTAAAGACATTTTTGGCTTGCACCCAGTGGATAGAAATTACGTGCTCGATCTTGTAATTGAAAACAAGTCAGAACAAATCTGGGAACCAGCGGGATTTAAATCTGCTATCTACTGCTTGCCGGGCAGCGACTCTTCCACCAGACCATCACTGGTACAAGCACATAGTGAAAACACATATTTAAAAATCATATCTTTGAAAAGAGCGGAAAGTCTTTTTAAGTTCAAAAGTATATCATAATCAAGGAAATAATTGTGCCGTCTTTATGGCTAATTATAAATTTTTGCAACTTCGAAATATATTATATTTCCCCCAATATCTTTGTATTCTTGCAGTCTTCATTTTAAACCAGAAAGTAAACTTTATAATCATTGTCAAAATTGACTATTCTAACCTTAGGTGGGTTTCCATTAACGGCCAGAATGGTGACAAATGTCTGAGCCGTTCTCGTTTCCTTCCTGACGGTCAGGCTGAATTGATAAGTCTTGTCTGCCTCAAGCGCCTGGGCATCGAACTCGAGCACGCCCATACCGCTGTTGCTATCGTTGATGATCAGCGTGCCGAGTGCGTCGGGGTCGTACGACCAGCAGGCAGAGTTGTCATCCGTCTACAGGCGAGAAAGAGGAAGAGACTTTCTTGTTCAAACTGGGAAAACCACGAGATGCAAATTTAGAGATGCTGCCAAAAATTGGCGGTTACTCAATAAACCAATGGTTCGATTTCCTAAGCTATGATTATTGTCGATAACATTTCACTGTCGGCTATGATTTTTTGCATTCATCCTACAGGTTTATCAATAGTCAAGTAAGTATAAAATTATCTCAATTTAAGTATCCGGATTCGACAGTTTGCATATATTTCATTTTACGACCGTTTGCTACATTTTTTTCAATCGTTCCCTACATTTATACCTTCACTCTACTTAGCTTTTATATGTATATGTTATGTTTTATAATCAACAATGATATCGTGGTAGTAAAGAACTTTCTTTAATACAGTTTACTAATAACAGAATAACAACTGTTCCAAGAACGTCCGTAACACTGTTCACGGAAATATTCGTACCTGTTCGCAAAGCCAAACGTACTCCCAGTCACGAGCCTGTTCGTCAGGATCAATCGAGTTGGTACCGACCAATGTGATGGTTCCGCTGTCGCGCCCCACAGTGAACTCGGTAGCGCCATCGATCTTAGCAAAGAGATCCGACTGATGGGTGGTGACTAGGATAGAGGTCTCCGTGACTTGGCTAGGAGTACTAGACTTGTACACTCGCACCGTGAAGAGGATGGTCGCTCCACCTGTCCAAGGATCAAGTGAGGTGTTGTGAAAGAATGTCATGTTTAATAGGGACTTTCGTAGGCCTAGAACTGATGTCGATTGGAAAAGGGCCACTATCATTTCATCAACTTGAGTCCATTGTTTCTTTCATAGTGTTAGCTTGTTTTTTCTGACTTCACTTGTGCCGATGTATGTATATCAGACAACCGGTTCTAGGACACCTTCCCCCCGGACATCCATCCCCCGGATAACCACTCCCAGTGAACTATCCCCTACGACAACCATCCTCTAGGACAACTACCCCCGGACAACTATCGTATTTACCTGCTCTCTTTATCTGCTAATCTACCTCTTTTCTCCAGCACCACCCCCTCTCTCTCTCTCCCCCTCTCTTCCCCCTCCCTATACATCAATATCTCTCTTACCCTGTCCCTTTTTACATCATCTGCACATCTTTGCCCCCTTTCCAAACAAGACAAAATCAATCTCACTTCAAATCTTCTTACCAATCAATGAATCATTCTAGAATAGAGAGATACACATTTTGCATTCTTAACATTTCTCTAGACATGCTACAGTCTTCTATCGAAATATTTCCTTCACATATATCTCACCTGGCAGTGATCCTTCGTCTACCCTGAGAGCGCGTGTGTACATGGTGAAGAGATTGAGAGCCACGCTGGTGTCGTTCACCGACCATTCGATCACTGTTTCGCCAGCCGCTACACACTCGGAATAGTACTTGATGTCGGCAACCAGGTAGAACCTAAAAGGGCAAGATGGTAGCTTGTTATGTGATGGCTGACGATCATTTGAAAGGACACGTAACCCCCTTAGTCACCATATAAAGCATTTAATAGGTCGAATAAATATGTTCATGTTCGCGTTGTTTTTACATGTATGTATTTTTTTCTTGGATATTGGAAACTTTTGCAACATTTTCGTTGAAAAAAAATATAGTTAAATGCAGCATATACGTCGAATAAATGTATAATCATACAGTACGCTGCAAGTTGCATCACAATGATTCAAGATTAGTGCTTGTTGCCACCTGCCCCTTCTCAAATATAAACAGTTTCATGAACTTACATTATGAACCTCAAAGCTATGTTTTAATGGTGTATGACCAAGAGCACGGCATTTTTACCGACATATATCTTATACATTACAGAGGACTTGGAACTTACAGGTCGGCCACCTTGACGTATTCGACATCGACACCACGAGGTTGAATGTTGACCTCAGGTGCGAGCGTGGCCGTACGGACGACGGTCAGGGGAGCCGAATTGGATTCACCGAGGAAGTTAGTGACATCGAGTGTGAACTCGTACTCTTCGTCAGCTTCGGTTAGAAGGGCTCCATCTAGAACGAGGTCTGCTACTCCGTAACCTCCGTTGGCCGCTGTGGGTTCAAGATCAAATGCAACAAGGAGTAAGCTGCTATCCTACTTTTCTGTTCTAAGCATGGACGAAGTGATATCTATACAAGAAAGCCCAGAAGAAATGTTTATCATGGCTTCACCCATTGGAACTGTGGTGTAGTTAACAAAATGTGCTTTCCTGTTAAAAGAAGAGTTGTCTTTCGGGTCTGCAGACTGCAGGTCTAGTGTGACAACCTCCACCTCCAGTTCAAATCTTCTAGCCGTGCCCATGGCGTTTAATGTGACGACATTTTTCGTTTGATGATTTTAACGGGAAGAGGCAATCAACTTCGAATAATGAAACCTTAGTCCTAATATGTCACCATGATAAGGATAAGAATGAAGCCTTACCATTGATGGTATCCAATGCGTCGGTGAGGTTAGCTTCGACGGTGGAAGCGCTGACCGACCACTCGTAGGTGAGAGGGCGAGCGCCAGATCCAGTCGAACGACGTCCATTAAGTACGACGTTCCCGCAGCTGGGGATGGTTGATGGTCCTGAGAGGATGGCGGTCGGGATGAGGGCTTGTTCGGGAGTCTGGATGGGCACGCTGCCGTTTGCTGGATAAGAATAATCCTGCAGGAAGGCATACACCGAGTCGTCCTTCAGTGTCAGACTGTCCCCTGTGCAGTAAAGAAGTACAAAGACAGATGCTTACAAATCAAGTTTAACACATTCATTTCTGGTTGTGGGTCTAATATTGTTGACGACAGATGATTTATAAAGTCCTGTTTAAAAAATTTTTTATGCGGATCCGCATAAACGATCCGCATGAACAATATGCACACTTTCTGGATGAGGTACTAATTTATGATCTCAAATGTAATTTCTGATGGTTTGATATCTACTCGAATACAGTCCTTAGGTCGTGGTGTTTGTAGCCACCTCCGAACTCACAGTTGATAGAAAGAAGGGCGAAAGAAGCCGTTTTAACACAAAATTAATGTGTTTTTGGTTTCCAACAAGTACTGTAGCACTTCACCTCCTTTAAAAGAAGGCCGAACAACAACTTTCAAAGCGTACTCACCGACGCCTAAGAGATTACTTCCGGAGCCGAAGATGACAGCCAGACTCATAGGGCCAGCCCAGATACACCAGGCACCCCTCCCAAGACCATCCACATCCTCGAAGATACTATCACACGATTGGAGGTCGTAGTAGTGGACAGGGGCACCAAACTCCACCCACAAGAAAGCACCTTGTTTTGTAGAAGAAAAAACACATGACAAGTTGATTGACATGATTGATTGATGGTTGTATTTTACCTGACTTACCCTTTCCCGTTGCACGTGAGGGCCAATCCTGTTTGCATCATCAGCTGCGTTAATCAAGCCACCAAGGGCATGCAACGAACCCATGCCCATTTTTTGCACAGTTTATTCTGCATTCACTGCTGCACGATGTCATTCTTACATGGTGCGCCAAAGACCAACGTAAGACGCAACCCTACGTCAAAGACCACACTAGCCACTGACGCAGCCCTACGTCAGGAAATGACGCATCATTTACCACGGTTATAACAGAGAATGATATCTTGCATATAAGCAACTATTGGATATATGGATTAATCTCTTATCCTATGGACTTTTGAGAATGAATGCCTTACCAAAGGCCACTAGTGCATGACTTAATATCGAACATGTGACCTCACACTGTCTTATAAGACAACTGCTCTACCACTTAATCGTCATGCTTCCTCATTTGATCCTTAATATTTCATATTGAAATTCCGAATAAGTTCTTAAAAAGCAATCGCAAATACTTTGGAAAAAAATTAACCCAATCCAATTACAAGCATAGTCCATCACTCATTAAAACGTGCGAACGTTACAATGACGTTTTACGTTTTCGAATATGAGTTCTATGGGATATACAAAAGGGTATATGCCCTTGAGTTAATTTCTCGAAAGCTTTTACATCATGGTTTATGATATTACCTCATTGTAAAGCTAAACTGTAATACAAACCTGTGGGGGAGAACTGAGCTGATTCGATGGTCGGTGCTGCCCAGTAAGCAGTCAGCGTCACAGGGTCTCCGAGAAGACTGTCCTGTCCGTTGATGCTCGGGAAGGCGTAGAATCGACCCGATGTGGTAGGTAGGATGAAGTCGACAGTAAACGTCCTATCGTTAGTGAATGTACCCTCACTATTCCAGACAGTCTCGGCTGTGGAAGAATGAAGCAATACATGGGTTAGATAGAGGGGTCGTGGTTGCGTGGTTTGAAACACTTGACTGGAAACGCAAGGGTTGTTGGTTCGAGACCCCGCACTGTATCATTTCGTTAATCGAAGATCTAGGTCTAAGGTCTGAGGTCTAAGTTTTCCCCATATTAAACTTCATCTTTGATCCAGTGTTGGGTATAACTGAACTAGTAGAATACAGACTATCGTGTGCATATTTTAAAGATTGTAAAATACAACAATGTCGGAAGATGACGGTGTCATAAACTTTCATTCAGCATTATTTTTATGCTAGGAACAGAACCCAGTACAGAAATGTCACCATTTATCAAGGTAGTATGAACGACTTATATAGATGCCAAAACAGTGATCTGGCATTACATTAGCAACACTTGATGAAGATAGGGTTGGGGTTAGGGTTAGAGTTTCGACTGGCTAATGATTAGCGTTAGGGCTAATATGGTAATAGGTTCAGAGGTGAAATTAGAAATTCGGTTAGTGTAAAAAAATTGACCATAGACCAAATGTCACCGACGCATATGTCGTACGTCCTGGATTGTTTACTTACCATCGTCTTCAGGAGAAACGAAGACGGACGGGACGACAGTGTAGTCAGACAGTGACCTAAGATCACTGAATGAACCAGATGGAGCCGTGATCTCGAATGTCTGAAGTCTTGGATCCACATCAACTAGGGCCTCGGTCGGGCTAATGCTGGTAAAGCTGAAATCTGTCAAGGATAATAGAAGTAGAAAGTGTATCATGGTTTAATATTACGATAGCCATAGTAATAGTAGATTATGACGAGCTTATTCGAGTTCAGTTATACATTTTCGATAGACATTATCATCTTATGTTACCCAGTTTCTATTGTATTCATTATTTTTCTACTCATAGATGACATCCTAGAATTCCTGGACTTACATGTATTTTTCATTTTCAATGTTTAGTTCCTTTTCTATGATTGATTTCCCTTTTTGGTTATCCTCCGTATTTTCGTTCTTAATCTCTACACGTTATTAATTTGTTATGTTACTTGTAAAAATAAAATGTTCGCCCGACAATTGTTTATCTTTATTTTTCTTTCATCACAGGGAAAAACATTAATTTCTCTTTCCTGTCATTCTTCATTCGACCACCACTTAATTGTCATCACCACCATCATCGTCACCATCATCCTAGTCATCATAATCATCAGTGCCGTCGTTATCATCACTGTCTTCATCATCACCATCCTTGTCATCACCATTATCACCATTATCATCATCATCATTATCATCATTATCGTCATCATCATCATAAAACTTACCTTCATATACGTAGATACTCTGTCTGAATTCTGAGACTGAGTCACTGTTACGCTTGATAGCCAGATCATATTCACCTGAAGTTGCGAATTAAAAAACATAATCAAAATTAAATTAAAAAATGTTAGAAGACGAAAGTATCGTAACAAGTATTAAAAAGTAAAGGTATGACTACGAAAGTTACAACAGTTGAAGACATAATTCGAATATCTATTATATTTCCAATAGATTCTTAAAATGTATTTACCAGTGAATTGTCACCGTTAATTTATTTCCGAGTTCTTTATTATTTTAACGAACACTTCCGAAACGAAGCGGTTTATTTGTTGGTTGGGGATGTTTCTGACGGGCACTTGTATAATTGTATCAACTAGCAATACGAAGCGAAGTACATGCATATTAATTAATAGTTGCCATAGTTGTTGTGTAATGACTTACCTGCACCAAGAGCAGGGGTGGTACAATACAGCTCGTAGTAGCTCACTAGACTATCTATCTCTTCTTCGTATTGCTCACCACTGCCGTCAATGAAGACACATGATAGGGATGCATCACTGTTGAAGCCGGCTCCTAACACGTGAATCTTCAGGTTAACAAAAGCAAAAGGTGTGGGTGAGTGTAATGGGTTTTGTTAACAGACGTGTATCAATCAGATATGATTATTTACGTCTGGGGACCGACTTTTAATGTCACCTTCCGAAAGACGTGACTCAGTTTCGAACCGGGGTCTACCTGAATCAGTAGGCTAAGACAGAGAGCTGACCAAGTGAACGTACCGCTAGACCAGAGCTGTGCGTTGGTAGGCCACATGGTTTATAAATCGCAGATTAATTGTATATTTCAACCTCGGTAAAAAAGAGATGATAGAAAATGATAATGATATAATCCCGGTTTGAAGTTTCTTGTATCAAAAACATTTTTTAGAGACACAAATACGATCTTGTCCGTTGCTAGCGTTAATCAATGTTACTTATATCTCAAAAATGGAGCAAGGAGGAGAAATTCAGAAAGAGACTGGAACAAACAAAAGAAAAACTTATATTTACGCCAGTAGGGGTACAACCAAAGCGCTTAAGTTAATATATATATTCTTAATGCTATAAATTATTTCGGACTTACCGAAGTAGCTTTGTTCGGTACAACATTAGGAGTAACTTCCAGTACACCGACACAATCTGAACCGTCACCGCCACATGTTCCACACGCATCGTATTCTAAACCACTGTCAAAGAGAAAGAGAAAGAGAGAAAAAGAGAAAGAGAAAGAGAAAGAGAGAGAGAGAGAGAGAGAGAGAGAGAAAGAGAAAGAGAGAGATAGAGAGAGAAAGAGAGGGAAAGAAAAAAGTACAATGTAATTCTGAGTATGAAATATCCCTTTCTTTCAGTAGACTTTAGAACAACGTAATCATATACCATTCGATGGCAATAGTTATGAAAAGGCAAAATAAATATAGAGGGTCAACTCTTGAGACACTTATCTGACAAGCGAATGTACAACACATCATCATTCTATTATATTGTTTGATAGGGGCACATTTACGATTGATTGACGACCCTTTGCCCCTGATACATTTTTACTTGCACCAATTTGAGCACTTGAACGCAAATATTGTTTGGAGAAAACAAACACAAATAAAGAACAGTTCAGTTCAACTACAAAAGTTTGAACTGATTTGATATTTTCTCATAATAGTTAAAAGTTTTATCAAGTTTAAAGAGTGGACTATGATGATAAAAATGAGATTTGCGTCAGGCTTACGGTTTTCTTTACAAAAATAAAATGTCTGTGTTTGTGCGCTCGTCAATCATAAATCTACTGTAAATCAGTTGATTCCTGAATCATTTTTGACAATATCATATTATCAAAACATTCGGGGAGCGTAGTCCTACCTGGCGGGAACTCCGTCGCAGCCGGCACACGACTGCTCGTCAGCCTCGGCATCGCTCTCGCACTGACCGCAAGCATTGAGACCTTCATCGATATCGAGTCCTGTGTTACCTCCGTAGCATTCACCGCAGTCATTCTCCTGACCACGAGGGAATCCTGCAGGAAAGATCAGAACGCAACTTGAATATTGTAAGAATGATTTTAGTTAAAAATTCTTCCCCCAAAAACCGTATTTTTAAAAGGATAATAATCTGAATTACTACACATTTGTCCTTATATTAAGCCTCGGTCACAAATGCCATTACGAACTGCTACGAACGCCGAAATTCGGGAAGACAATGGAAAAACAGGCAGATTCGTACGAAATTATCGTTCGTACGAATCTTTGTGACCGTAGCTTTAGTTGTACAAACTAAAAACTTTCGTGCGTTATATCAATGTCTAAAAGGACTTAGGAGTGGCAGCGTTTTCAAAATTGTAGATTAAATATATATGCTAGATTAGAAATGGGGAGATAATCTTGTGAGATACAGAATTTTGAGAACGCTGTCATTCTCCGTCCTTTTTAAATGGTGTATCAACACTCAATATTTTACAAGTACTTGTATAACTTGCGTGTATATCAACTATGTCTAATTGAACAGATCATCAATACTGTTATAACTGTGATACCGGGGGGGGGGGGGTGTCTGGGATGTGAGATACACCCGTCCTTTGTAGGCCCTTCCTCCATTCCAAAGTACAGAGAAAGCTCGAAGAGCCCTACAGACAGCGGATATGATTGATTTGCCAAGTGAAAAGTACATTTTATTTTAAGGTTGTATATTACACAGGAAATACTTGCATAGCATTTACTTTTAATATGCAGGTGTGCGCTGACACGAGCAAGAGCACAACTATAGCAATCGAGGTGATATGACCATTGCCGGAAATAAGAAATCTACAAATAACCAACAAACAAGCCAATATACAAAAAAGTATATACATGTACCCACACAAATGTTTAAATACAGATTGAACCAATCAAAACGAACTTAATTTACAGAGATTCATCTTTGTATAAAAATGGAAAACTTGTCTAATGGCGTAATCATGAAGGAAAGCCCAGCACCTACATTGCTTGACTATCTGGTCTAATTTAGATCCACTCCAATCAGATTCATACCGTAACCCGCCTGGTACCGAATTAAAAATTGATTGTTGGATCGTCTCCCAGCACCATATAACAAAGAGGTTTCTCTCCTTAAGAAAGATGTTGAATGCAGTGCAAATAAGCAGTGCGATTGGAGTTTGTGGGGCATCAATAATGTATTGTATAGTGAGAGCTATAGACTCCATCACAGCATAGCACCCAGCCCATGCGCTCCCCTTAAAAAAAGGTTTCCATCTACATCATAAAGTCTAACGCAATTTTGATGTTTGTACAGTCTTAGTCGTTATGTGTCATTATATGAAAGGAGAACAGTTTAGATGTTGCCCTTCGTAAAGGTGAAAACATATCGATACAAACATTGTCTGTTTATAGCTACGTAACCAACATTATCTAACCGCATATTCTTATGTCAGGATTTTGCAAGAAGTTAGGAGTTGGAGATCGGGACAATTATAATAGTCAAAAGTAGATATTTATCAAACTCAATTAAGTCAAACATTAGACGGAGAAGAATGGAGAAAGCTGATAGAAAATACAATTTGTTTTGTTGAAATGTCGACCGAAAAATAATTATCTAGTGTGTCATATTTAGGGTAGAGGTGAATCCAACCGATGATGGACCCGGTTTTTCCCTTTTCCAATTCAGTTAAACCCGACGCGAGGACTTAATTATATAAAGTCGTGTTAAACAAAGCAATACTTAGTCCTCGATCTAACTTTTTTTTTTTTAAACCGAGCTTAAACCCAGCTTTGGGTTTAAACATTAGTAGAATACGAGTATTTTTGTTTATCAAATGACGAACTTTCATCAGCATCGTGGTATGACTTGGATGATACTTTGAACATCAGTAGTGAACTTATAACACAACAATATTTTGACTTTGCACTACGCCTGCAATTACACAACATAATTTTGCTTCCCGGTGTTTTTGATAATTCATAATTCTTTTGTCTAAATAGTCATAAATTGTCATATGCACTTGTGAAGTAAAATGCTCAACGTATCGTTGAAAATTAATGTATGATTGTTTGTTTGTTTGTTTGTTTATTTTATTTAAGCACGGTGGCATACTTCAGCCAATGGCTGTTTTTCAGCATGGCCGTGCATATAAAAAGCAATCACAATTTTATAACGAAACATACATTATAGATTAACATGATTTACATAAAAAGTTAAATAAATATATACATATATATAAACTAATAGGTTAGAAGGCGAGAAAGCTAAACAAGCCCTAATTTAGAAAAAAGAATAAGAACAGAATAAAAAGATATATTTTAAAAAATAGAAGAAAAACAAATCAGTTGTTTTTGTTTGCTATCAAAAGTCAAACATGATATCACAAATATTATAAACTATTTTTGAAAGTATAGTTAGTTGGTTTATATTGCACACATTTTCTGGCCCCGACCCTGGTTATGTCAAAAAGTGATGATATATTTGAGAAATCAAAACCTTATTTTACATATTCACAAAAAAACTCAAAAAACTTACCCAATATTGGGTAGATTTAACACAAATTCGGGTACATTGTACATTTGTATCATGCAAATTTTTACCCGACAAACATGCTTATTGGATAAAATAAAACCAACTGATTCTATAAAGAACTATTTTAATAAGTTGCTTACTTACTTTAAGAATGCACTATAGATTTTAAACTTTGCAACCTGCAAAGTTTGGCTCAATATCAGGTGTGATCTTTTGATTCGTTTTAGTTAAGAAAATTATATATTCAATATATGGACATTGGCATTACAGTCATAGTAATCATATTTTATGATGGCACACTTAAACATATCAAGAGTGACAAAGGGTTACCGAATCTATGCATCACCAGATTAAAACAGGCCGAAAATGACCGTCTTATCATAATCCCAATTAATCGTGAACAGTCGACATTTAATTAAGTTATTTAGCTGTTAAATTAGTGTAGATTCCTAATGCGCCAAAAGCTGTTAATTATAAAATATATGTGAAAAATAAAAGGGGGGAAATGCCTGCTCGCTCGCGCCTTGGGTATGTCGCTCGGTATTAGCTTCCAATCACTCGATTCCAACTTTATTTTCTTTCAAAAATTCAGATACATTGCTTTTCTTTTGGTAAGGTAAGGGGAAAAGCCTGAATATGTAACTGTTATTGCGTAAAACCGCAATAAAGTTTTATAAAATGGCCGTCATTACAGAGGGTCAATGTACATTGTATATACAAGCGCGTCGATTTATCATCGGTAGCCCATGTTACGACACGGGTTGTCTCAAAATCGATTTCATTGATCGGACTTTCTATCAGTACTTAGACCTTCTTTGCATACGAATGCCACATCTGGAATGTTTGGTGGTTGTAGTTATCAACAAAGTATCGCTTTTACGCACGAATTCGATTTTTTGCCAACAGACCATAAATAATCAATGTGTTATGGGGCATGCGCTACCACAGACCCCACCTTTGCGGTATCCAGTTCCGTTCTAGACAGCAATAATCAAAACTAAGACTTTTATTTGATAACCCTATCAAAATAAATGGAAAATGTGACAACATAAGTCTATCCTCCTATTTCATAAGTATAAATAACTGAATATATCAAATTAAGAAAGTTTTGAAATAGGTACGGTACATAGGCCTATCCTTTTTTCATCATGTCTGCAAAAACCCATTTGACACATTTGACAGCAGATGATCTTCGACTAAAGTAAAATTTCAAACAAAGCAAGACATCATCATAAGTGAAGTCGTACCAATTGATGATAGAGGCGGGGGGGGGGGGTCGATAGAAGGATGAAACTCCTATTATGGAACACGTAATATTTGGTTAACCATTGCTTAATTCGGATACGAACGTTGTCTCTTTGCCATACAAAAATTGCCTAATTTGAAATAATCAAACGACGAAAGTACTTTTATCCCCATTTTTTTATTCATTTCATTATGAATAACGAGATATATGCTAGGAGAGTTTGACATATTTTTGCTACGATTTAAAATAAAATGAAAATAATTTGTATTAATTTATTTTCATAAAATTATCGAAAGGCTCTATTCAGCTCTTTGTGTAGAAGACATTTTCCCTTCCAACATTGCGATTCATGTAAATAGAACCAATTAAGTTTGTAAGAGTGTGGACTATGTCTAAGTCCAAGAGTCCATTTTTTCCATGACTAAGTCCTCTAGTCCAGCTACTCTTGCACTTTTGACGCCACGAAAACATTTTCTAATATTTGAACGATGTGGTCAATCAAAAGGTGTTACACTGTTAGAGGTAGAAAATGAAGGCCATGCTTACATCATACCTCTTTATGCAAACACTTATGAAAGTAAACAGGTAGTCTGATACACAGAATATGATGATTACTATCGGATCATATTAATCTATCTCATTTTATATGCACAAACCTCGTAATATCAACTACACGGTTCGTTTACAGTGAGAAGAACGAGCAAATAAGATGAATGATAATTGATTCAGAAAGACTTCCAGAAACTGAAAGGATACACATGTTCAATTGTACACATCTCCAATTTGTGGCTTTGTGTGCGTTTTCACTTTTAACAACGTAACAAAAAAAAGGCTTATTTTAACATCAAAGAATAAGTTGTGGGAGAGGACGCACATGGACGAATGGAGAAATTTTAAGGAAAATCTTTACCATTTTGATATTGGCTGCCTCGTAAAAGGATCCCCATAGGTTTTTTGTTTTGTTTTGTTTTGTTTTGTTTTGTTTTTGTTTTTTTGGGGGGGAGGGAGGGAGACATTTTCCCCAGCTGATTTGTCGTCAATTTTGGTCACCGTCCTATCGCCACACACACACACACACATTTAAAAAGATATCGACTTCACTGGACAAGTAATGCACACTGTAACATGCTATCACTAATCAAGCATTATAAAAACAAACGATCTTTGACTGTGTCACAGTTCCTTAGACTTGTTACGTGCTTGCTTGCTCAGACATGATGGATCAATGCATGTTGTTAAGCATAGAACAAAAACCACTCTACGACTGAGCGGGGTGCATGTCACCTAAAAGATGAAAATGATTCTTAAAATCTCTTGCTCCTGTCACTCAAATGGAACAGCCATGTCGGGGGGGGGGGGGGTGAAACACGACCGCGGCATGTATGAAGACAAGGACTTGAAAGGTTTATTAAAAAACACCTATCTTCCTATTTTGGACCATTGAAGGGCCAGCCAGCGAGATTTCCACAAGAAAAAACTGAATCAACTTTGTCCCGCATAGTATTATATACAATGTAGATTAAAGAATTCATGAATGCCATACTATAAGACATTCGTTTTTGCTGTTATGGATATAATGCAGGGGTTATCTCGTTAAACCGCTTTAAAAAACAACAGATCGTCATCTTTTGAATATGTGATAAAACAAATACAGAAAAAAGAAAGGTCTGACGGTTTGATGGAATTTAGTACATCAAAATTCTAGTATTGTCATATAGTTTGTTGTTGTTGTTGTTTATTTGCTGTTTTTGTTGTTGCTGATTTTTTTTTTTTTTTTTTTTTTGGGGGGGGGGGGGGAGAGTCAATATTGTCATTCAATTTACCTGGGGTGACACAGGTGGAAGAGCAGTCCATGTATTTACTGCCACCAGTGTAGTTGACTCTCGAGTAGGGTTCACAGAATCCGCATGTATCATCCACCCAGTCTCCATCGCACACCCCACGGCAATCGAGGCGGTTGTCATTGGCGTCCTCGGCTAGGCCCGAATCTCCGCCTATACATGGAAAACACAGGGAAAAATTAAGCATCGACATGCAATTACCATTTTAAAGGAGGGTAGTTACAGGGGAGGGGTTTGGATCTTTCAAAGCGAGAGAGAGAGAGAGAGAGAGAGAGATAAAGAATGGTGAGGAGAGGGCAATCAGATACAATCACGCACTTTTATCGCATTTTATCGAGTTGTAGGACTAACCCCTAGTACACAAGTTAGTGTTTATTACATTATTGTCGTATTTTGATAACTCATTTGTATTTGTCATGTGTTGAAATTGTTCAAATAAATAACGGTAATAACAAAAACTAGCTTTCATCTCCAAATATTTGCTTTTTTTTTCTTCTGAAGATACTCTACTTTACTAACACTTCCTCGAGAAGAATAGTAGTCTTTATTTTTGCATCTTATATTTGTTCAGTAAATCTGTTGAATCAGTAAGTTAGCTGGAAGCTCATCTCCGATTGAAGATTTTAAAAATGAATTTAATCAGCTATAAACGTCTTTTGTCACCTAAAGTGTTGGGAGCCCCAAATTTGCTAAAAATTTGATGACAACATTTCACTTGAATTGTACCATAATGTGAAAGAGGATGTCATTTGAGACACACAAAAAAAAAATGTGTTCGAAGACATAATTTATATTGATAAAAGAATACATTACTTGGGTTTGAATTCTTTCATCAATATTAGACTTCAAACACATTTGTTTTGGAAATCCTCGCAGAAATGTGTCTTCAATGACATCCTCTTTCACATTATGATACGATTTAAGTGAAATGTTGCCATAAAATCTATGGCAAATTTGGGGCTCCCAACACTTCGAAGGGGGATGATGAAAAATATATACATGTATATTTTTTAAAGCAGTAAGATCTACTAACCAACACATTCTCCACATCGATCATAGAAAGCAGTGGCGTTGCAGGAACCAGAGCAATCCCATATTTCTTTGTAGTCCTTGGCCTGCTTGCACAAACCACATCGATCAGCTCCGAATTCCTCATCCCTGTTCGTCCGTCCACCTACGCACTCGAAGCAGTAATTGATGTACGCTTCCCCGTTGCATTCGCCGGCGCAATCGGTGTCAGCGTCGCCATTGCAGACGCCGGCGCAGTCTTCACGGGCGGGCCCGTTGCACTCACCGGCGCAATCGACGATTCCTCTGCATTCCTCTGTAAAATAAAATCCAGAATATTAACCTTAGATTCTAATATGACAACGTTTCATTCACAATGTGTAAAAACAAATGAAATGAAAGAAAGATATGGATGATTATTATCCGGACAGAAAGCCAAAGCAGAAATGGTGTTCATAGATAATACCAATGACCATAAAAACTTGTTATAATGATTGTTTCGCTGTTTTAATACCTTATATTTGTAGACACTGGAATTGCAATTCCATGCAATTCAAAAGATATTTAATATAGCACTTTTTTCCTTGCAGTTACAAAGTGATAACTTCCACTTTAAAAGACCTTTTTCTTGTTTTCTTTGTAAACCTGTACTACAACTATATATGACGGTACATATTGTACACACATGTTTTGTACACATACAAAATCGGTATAAACGCTGATAATTCGTCTGTCCGAAGGAAAGAGTCGCTTTAATTAAAACAAAAATAGTCTGCTTAGTTAACGCCTTCGGCACACTTCAGAGTAGTTAGACAGCTAACACGCGCACCTCCAGTATAGTAACAATTCAGTCAAAATTACTCGTATTTGGGAGTGGTTATATTTATAAACAAGGAATGATCGGCTGATAAAGGTTTTGATGATGGTCTCTTTTTTAAAATAATTAATAAGCCTAATTTGTTGCCAAATATCAGGGTGATTATTGTAGAACGTAATTACATGAGCAAAATGTAAGTTCTCTGATTAATTTTGATGTATATATATATATATATATATATATATATATATAAATATGTATCTATACATGTTTCTACATTAGATATATCATAAACAGTGAGGACTTCTAAATATCCACTGATTCATTCATAAATAGTCAAACTAAAGGTAATCCCAAACACGATTAGATTTTTTAACATTTTCTGTTATTTAAGAACAAAGACCAAATGAGGCTTGAAAGGATATCAAGTTAAATGTACACTTACCAACGGTCTCTTCAGTAAAAGCTTGGACAACAGCCAGACACAGGTCGTTCTTGCCTTCAAATCCAATCATTCGCAGGATGTCATCGATGTCCATCCTGTATGGAGCGGACGACGACCACCATGTCCAAGACGATTCCCAGCTGACATCCCAGCTGTTACCCCCTTCAAAGATGTCCCCGGACATGATGATATCCTCAATAGTGTCGACAAAACGCTCGCATCGGTCCACGTTCTCCAAGATCCCGATCACTTGATCAGCCATGAATTCCATGTAGCCTTCGAGATCATCCCTGCTATCGACCATGCTGTCACAGACCCTGTCCATGCTACCCATCCCGGTGAGGACGCCCATGATGTCATCCATGATATCAAGGTCTTCTTGTCTGAGGAAACGTGGAGTGTCTCTGTAGTAATCGAACTCCTCCACTGACGAATCCCAGTACCACCATTGACCGTAATTATCCCACCATTGCAAATCTTCGAGATAGGACCGAATCTGGTCAATCTGCTCGCAAAACGCCATCCCGTATTCATTGATCATCCATGTACCAATATCAACCATGGTGACCTTGCCAAAGTCCAGGATACTCATGTCTGATGTCAGTATTTCTTTGACTGTATCACCCGCTTCAACGCAGATCCCCTGTGGATCTTCTTCTTCAAGGACACTTAGATCAATGTCAATGTAATCAGAGATAAAGTCCAATAACTTGTCAACGTCAAATTCACGAAGGGCGGTTGGATAATCGGGTCCGTAGTAGGCTGGGATCAGACTTTCTTCGCAGTCCGATATCAAATCCTGGGGGTCAGAACCGGAACTGGTAAAGATCCTGCAGATCGGCTCTACAACGTCACCCATACCATGTACACGAGCCAGGTATTCTCCCATGACATCACAAACTATCTCGCTCATCTCCGGAAAGTTATTTGCGTTGTACATCTTTGCAATCAGTTTGACAGCCGTTTCGAAGGGAATCAGTGGGGCGATCATACCAGACTCCATGGCTTGTTCCCCGAGATAACCAAAAATATCATCACTATAGCTATATCCGTCTAATTCGGGGAGATCAATAGCGTCAATTTTGATTCTATTTGCCGAGAAAGTTTCCACGACGAAATCGCATAGATCAGAAGCACTTGAATAGCCTGTCATTTCCTCTATATCTTCACTGGTGAGAATTCCATTGCTTGTCACTGTGTTGACAAAGTTCCTACAGGAACGAAGATTGGTCGTCATTTCCAGGATGTTGCTGACCATGTCGTCTAGCAAATCAAACAGTTCATCGCTGAGGTCTGGGTCTCCTGATATAGACGCTACCTGCTTACACATTTGCTCCTCACTGCTCCAATCGCCAAGTTGTTGGAAGATCACTGAGAGAACATTGTCCAGGGAGTCAACGGAAGGTACTTTGTAATTCCAGAGCGTGCTTGATTCATCGAAGGAGTATGATACCTCGGAAGACCAGCTAGAAGACCACGAGGATGGCCAAAAATGCCTCCAGTCATAGTATCTCCAACAGGAAGTGCTGTAAAGCCAGCCGCCACTGTAGTAGACGATGGCAGAGATCAGGTTGTTGGCCTTTTCTTTTATTCCATCATTGTCCAATGAATACAGGTCGGTGTAGGACTTGCACATTCTATAAGGGTCCTCGGTACTGATATTCAACGCATATGGAACCGTATCAAGTAGACTATCGAAGAAAATATCCTCCGTGTAGTCCTCCCAGTCCTCCCAGTCTTCCCAGTCATCATAATCATCTTCGTGCGAGACTTGGTAGCAGAGTTTGAGAAACTCATAGAAGTTTTCGTCGTCCAAAGCCTGGCACATATCCTTCGCTACCCTATCCATTAACGTGTCTGGAACAGTTTCACAGAATATGAGAGCACCCTCCCGCAAATTATCGGCTTGATAAATTCGTCCAGCAAGCTGGATCCAAATTTCAATAGGGACTTGTTCGGCGACGCGTGGATCGATTGGATCCCATTCACCTTCGTAGCTGGACCCCCACGACCACGGAGAGCTAGACCACCACCAAGATGATGAAGACCATGCTGAAGACCAGGAAGAGGATGACCAAGATGATGATGACCAGGAAGAGGATGACCGAGATGATGATGACCAGGAAGAGGATGACCGAGATGATGATGACCAGGAAGAGGATGACCGAGATGATGATGACCAGGAAGAGGATGACCGAGATGATGATGACCAGGAAGAGGATGACAGAGATGATGATGAGGAAGAGGATGACCGAGATGATGATGACGAGGATGATGATGACGAGGAAGAGGATGACGAGGAAGAAGATGACGAGGAAGAGGATGACCCAGATGATGATGACGAGGAAGGGGATGACCAAGATGATGATGACGAGGAAGAGGATGACGGGAAAGAGGATGACCAAGACGATGACAAGAAAGAGGATGACCAGCTAAAGGAGGATGACCATGAATCTGAACTTCCTTCTGGGAAAGATGAAGGAAAATCAATATCAAAATCTGCATCCTCATCGAAAGAATCAATAATGGTAGTACAAATATCCAATTGAGTGATGTTGATGAATCTGAACGTCATGTTCATCAAGTCTGGAGCCTCTTCCATCAGATTTTCCAACATGTCTTCACAGAATGACATCGAAGAAACAAGTTCAAAGATATTCGATTTCATTGTATCTAGTATTGTGTCTAGAGCATCGCGATTCCCATTCTTTTCATCAAAAGCTGCTTGCACAATGTCGGTACAGTAATCATCTTTGTCTGCATAGTCCCCGAGCGTCATCACGACCGTGGACACGACATCAGGAATGGAAAGATCAGGAAAATACCAGCTACTGAAGCTGAAAGAGTCACCGAAAGACGAAGAGTTATCGCTTTCCGACCACGAGCTGCTGAAGCTAGATGATGAGCTGCTGAATTCAGATGACTTCCGGCATCTGTTAACTTCATCGGAGAGGACTAGTAAGATAAAATCATAAGCATATTCGTCCATAATGTCACTAACACTACTCGAATCGTACTGCATCGTACCGGTCACGCCACGACAAACAGATTGGTCGCTATCGGGATCGACAATACCGAGAGCATCGGTGAACTGATCGAGTACAATATCCCATTCACCATCTCCTTCACTCCAGTCTGATTCCCACCACCAGTCGTCAGATCCAGACCACCATTCTGAATATTCCCAGTCTGATTCCCAATCCCACCAAGACGACCAGGAACCCGACAACCATGACGATGAGTACCACGAAGACCAGGACGACGAAGACCAAGATGAGGAGGACCAGGATGAGGAGGGCCAGGATGAGGAGGACCAGGATGAGGAGGGAGACGAAGATCGGGAGGACCAGGATGAGGAGGAAGACGAAGATCGGGAGGACCATGATGAGGAGGAAGACGAAGATGGGGAGGACCAGGATGAGGAGGAAGACGAAGATGGGGAGGACCAGGATGAGGAGGAAGACGAAGATGGGGAGGACCAGGATGAGGAGGAAGACGAAGATAGGGAGGACCCGGAGGAGGAGGAGGAGGATGAGCTAGACGAAGCATCTCGTTTCTCGCGTTCTTCATCTTCAAATTCGCCCACAAACAGTTCCATTATTTCTTCACATGCCTCGTTAAAATCAGCATCCTCTGGATCATTGACGAGGGTATCGCAAATAAAAGACTGCATCCCCTCTGGCAGTAACTCCCCAAGTTCTTCGAAACTGTCGCAAATTATTCCGATGGATTCGGGCATGGTGTCGGCGTTGATGGCCTGGCCAAATACCTGGATCAGCCCTTGGATGTCAACGGGAAAGTTGAACGAGCTGCCATCCGACGAATACCACCACCAAGATGACCCGTACCACGAAGAATCCCCCCACCAAGAAGATTCATACGAAGAGCCCCTCCACGACGATCCCCACCATGAAGATCCCAACCATGAAGATCCCAACCATGAAGACCCCCACCATGAATAAGAAGAAGAATCACTCCCTGTCCACCAAGACGAACTTGAGTCCTGCGTCTTCGCACTAGCTACTCCTAGGAGCAGGACTAGTACAAACACACATCGCATGCTGGTAAAGATTATCCAAATTAATCTACACAAGGAGGGACATATTTCGATATATCCAAGCTGGCATAGACGAAGACATCCGTTTACACCGACTGTTAAGGCGCACAATGGTCTACCGTAAAAAAAAACGAGGGTGCAGTTAGTCCCATCTCCGCCTCACAATCAATATCTGCTTTTGCGCATCAAACCCTTATCTCGCAATGCAACTCTTCACAAAATCTTAAATATCGATTAAGACGAAGGAAATCAATAACATTGCTGACGACTTAGGATGCGTTATATAAGGTTCTTGTTACGTTCAACTATAGCTAAAAAGTGGTGTGGTAGCACAGAAACGAGGGGTAGTTTGACTTCAAGGCATCTAGACCAAGGGCACTGAAACCAGGGCACTAGAACTAGGGCAGGGATTCGATCTTGTGCAAGATCACATTATCAAACAGAGAGTAACCACGCAATAAAATGTATTTCATTGAAAAGCAAATATTCTTTTGTACATGCTTTATTACTGTTATTTATTTAATGAATCATATTTATACAGGATAAAAACATGATCAGCAACGCTGCTTTTCATCATGGTTCTGATGAAGGTCTCTCAATTAAGGACCCCAAGGAAGAACAGTAGCGTTCTATAAACACTGCTGAATTGGGCTTTCCACCGATTTTTGTCTTTGTATACATGTATAAATATTTTACTTTGTATATTTTACTATGTATAATATTTTTAATCTGATTTCGGAAATAAAAACAACAACAACAACAATAGTAAACGATAAAAATAATTCAATCATATCAAACGTTTTCAGAAATTTGTAGATGAACATTACAATGCAATTTGTATCAATATTGTATTTTAATTGCTGTAAAGTACGATCCAATCTGTGTATTCCCAAAGCAAGATTTAATAAACTTTTATTTTGAATTGAATCAATTTGAATTCAATACAACTGAATTAAATAGAATCCAAGAAAGTGAAAGATACATAAATGGCATAAAGAAATGGATTTAAGAGAAAGAGAAGGTGAGGGGGCTGCGAAAGAAAAGGCTGGAGAGAAAGAAATAAAGTAGAAATGGAGAGAGAGAGAGGGAAAGGGAAGGAAAGAGAGACTGTGGATGAAATTGATTTGATTTCTTTATCGTACATGTCAAGCTTTAAAACGATGATAAATATATCATCAATTAAAAAGATTATCTATTCAGACACTGTCAGACAACATGAATTTCCTAATTGTTTGGTTTACAGATCTTGTTGCACATCTTTGAAATATCTCCTCTGCTTCCTTCAAAGTTTTATGTTCCCTCTTTCCTTCTCTTTTTCTCCATTACCTGATATTTCTTCTGTTCTCTGGCTCACTCTTCCTCTTTATCTCTCTGTTATTTCTTCTTCTATCTGTATTCATAAATTACCCTTGAGATTAAATAAAATTCTTTTTGCATGACTTGCAAACGGTACTCCCCCCCTAAAAAATAAAAAATAAAATAGAATAAAAATCTTTAAAAAAAATTATTCCTGATCTTCAGGACACTAATCCAAAGAGCACGTCCATTATATTAATCGCCGAGGAGATCATCATTTCCTACAGTGAATTTTTATGATTTACGATTTGTTAGTATTGTATACAAAAGCTGACTACTCTTGACTCGCAAATGGGATCATAGTCAACGTAAATCCTTCAGTTCATGCACGTCTGTTCTTCAGAAACATCGTCAGTGCAGTATGGATGGACATGTCGACTTCGGAAAACTTCAAGTTGAAATCTATTTGAAGGATCTGGCTATTTTTAAAAGCGCATGTCATAAAAGGCTTTTGAACGTCAGTAACTAAATCAAATAACATTTGTGTCAAACTTTGTACACAGTTTTGTAGGATTTGTACACAAGGATGTAGGACGTTTTATTAAATCGTATTCATATCCTTACCATAATTGTATGGAACGTGCATAAGGGTTTTCACTTTTTTAAGTCAGGGCCATAAAGTCTGTATGAAATAATTGATGTTATAAAAAACCATACCATTGTCTATAACATTTTATGATTACCCTTTGCTTTCGAGCCTTAAAATAGGCTCGTTTATCCCATCGCCCCATTCCCCTTTTTCTAGTCTTTGTTAGCATTGGAACTGTGCATTAGATATCAAGACGTCATAACGATCAATACTATTTAAACCTCTGTTGACAACGACATCTATAGCTAGACAAAGCCAGTGGTCAATATTGTGAGCAACACAAGGGGATTCCATGGTATCATTTACTGACCGAGAAGGTCGATGTACATATTAAGCTAACGAGAGAAGAATAATGAACTTGGAATTATAAGCCAAGCTCCCAAGAACAAATCACTGCCTTCGTCGTTGAAGTCACAGTGCGTACCAGAAAATAAAAACCAAAACCCGAAATCGAACGGTTATTGTGAGCGAACTAGTATTGGCTGTATGAAAAAGATTCCTTGCTTTTCGTAAAGTTAATGAAATGTGCTTTCAAATGATACTCTGATTGCATTTATCCATACACACGTCACCAAACAACAATGTTTTGAAAATGGTATGCCAAAATCCATCTAAACAAGATTGTGGTAAAACAGTGAAAACGATAATACCACATGCAAACATGATCGTTGTAGTTGTTGTTGTTGGGTTTAGTTTTTTTTTTTTTTTTTTTTTTTTTTTTTTTTTTTTTTTTTTTTTTTTTTTCAATGATATTTTATTTTCTCCATTGCTTTTCACAAACAATAACAAAATCAATACAAAAAATAATCTGCATGTTAATATTATTATATAGAATATGATTTTACATTCACATCTAAATAATACAAATGAAATTTTTACTATTTACATCAAATAAAGCATGAAACATGCATGCATGAAGAAGGCATGAACATAAAAAGACATTTAAGAGAAGAAAAAAAGAAGAAAAAAATACTTACATACACACATACACACACGTGCACAGACACCCACACAAACACCCACTTAAAACATGCCTACATTTTGTGGAAATCTCGACCATTATATCAGCCATGTCCATTTCATTGCTTCTATTCGCCTTCCTTATTTTATTTATTCTGCACGAAGCTATTCTAAATTGTCCCACTTTCTAAAATGATATGTGAGTGTACCTCGGTCCCCAGCTAATTTCTTCTCCTCCTTTCTATTTTCTAATAATCTTTTCTTAATCTCCAAATAAGTTGGTGGTTTTTGTCTATTTTTACTATCTATAAATATCATATATTTTATCAAAATTATGATATGATTTAATAACTGTTCCTTCCCTATGTTAAACTCAACTATCCCTACATGGATACCTTTCCAATTTATATTTGTAATTTCTACTAAATTAAATGAATTCCCACACTCTTCCCAAATTGGTTTTACTTTCTCACAAAGACAAAATAAATGCTCGTAAGTTTCCTCATATTTACCACAAAAAGAACATAAATTACTATTAACCATTTTAAATTTATATAAATGTAATTTGGTATATATAATATTATAAAGCATTTTAAATTGAAATTCTCTAAGCTTACTATTCAATGTGCACTTTCTAAGTCTTAAAAATATTAATTGTATATCTTTTCCATGAATATTATAAGTCTGTTCTAAATGTCGTTCTGCATATGATTTTTCTACTTTCTTATTTAATAAAAAAAGCGTATATAATTTTTGAGGTTATTTGATCTAACATATATACCTTTTCAAACATAATAATATCCATATCCAATTCCCTATCTATATTTGAGTGAGTATTTTTATTTAAAAATTGTTTCCATGAAGACGGGATGCCAAGAAAAATACGTTGTATTTTACTAATTTCTAAACTATTTAAACCTTTTCTTTGAAATTCCTCATTAGATTTTATATTACCTTCCTTATCAACAATATGATGCAACTTATAAACATTTTTGTTAAATAATCCCTCATCGAAATGAACATGACCATCGATAAAAACAAATCTATTATTATAGATAATCTCATTCCTCCTAGAAACACTTTCCTTTAACAAAAATATTCTCGTAGCCATCCAAACATCCAGCATGTCTCTATAAAATGATGGTAATACTAATTCAGATATACCTACGGTTGCATTATTATAAAATATCAAAATTCCTCCAGCATCTTTAGTTAAATAATTAAAATATTGTTTCCATCCCATGTTTGCATCCCCCGTTAAAAGTCTTTTTACCCACATAATCCTCTGCACTAAAATAAATAAATGAAAGTCCGTTAATCTTAGTCCACCTCTACAATAATCCAAGAACATTACATTTCGCTTAATCTTATCTTTTCCCTTTCCACAAAAATTCAAAAACCAGTTTATCCAAATCTTTAAATACCCAATTTGGTACTGGTGTCAGCGCCGATACATAAATCAATTTTGACAAAATAAACGTTTTTATCAATTGAATTTTCCCCATTAAAGTTAAATCTCTTTGTTTCCACCAAGACAACAACTTTTTTATTTTACTCAAAATTTCCTTATAATTTGTCCTTTCCTGAACTTCAACATCTAAAGAAAAATATATACCCAAAATCTTGACCATTTGTACTACTTTACCAAATGGAAGAGCAATATTTTCATTTTGAGAAGGGCCTAACAATAATATAAAAGTTTTTTCTTTATTAATTTTTAATCCAGAATTTCTAGCAAAATTTTCAAACAGTTTCCCCACCTTTTTAAATGAGTTTGAGTCCCGAATAAAGAGAGTCATATCATCTGCATAAAGAACTTGTTTTACATGTACGTTATTAAAAGTAAATCCTTGAATTTCAGGGTCTTTATATATTGAACGAGCTCAAATTTCAATACAAAGTATAAACAGATATGGGGACAGGGGGTCCCCCTGTCTAACACCTCTCTTAATATCAAAGTACCCAGTAGATGAGCCCCCATTAAAGACACAACTTTGAGCATTATTATATATAGTCTCCACCCATCTACAAAATGATGGTCCAAAACCAAATGTTAACAAAACCTTCTGCAAAAAAGTATGTGAAACAGAATCGAAAGCCTTTTCAAAATCAATTATCATCATATATCCAGGTATTTCATTGACTGATGTATGATGAATTATATCATCTATCATTCTAATTGCTTCACCTATGTTTCGATCCTTTAGATATCCCACCTGGTCGACAGAAATTAAATCATTTAAAACTTTTTTAATCCTTATAGAAAGCACTTTAGTCAAAATTTTGTAGTCTACATTCAATAAAGATATTGGTCTATAATTTTTTATAAATAAGGGATCTTTTCCTTCTTTATGAATCAAACTAATGACCGCCTGCTTTTGTGATGAGGAAAGTTCCTTCTTTCCAAAAGCTGAATTTAAAGAATCTACAACTAAATTTCCTATCAATGGCCAAAACAGTATATAAAATTCAACACTTAATCCATCATTCCCCGGGGATTTATTAGATGCCATTTCTTTCATGGCTGCAGTACATTCTCCATTTGTTATTTTACCTTCACATAATGCACACGAATCTGAATTTAATTTTGGCAAGTCCTGAAAAAAATCATCCACAAAATCAATTTCCTCTTCCGATTGAGCATAAAGCTTACTATAAAATGTATATATTTCTTGCATAATATTTTTGATCAAAGCTTATATCTTCATCAATATAAAGTTTATTTATCAATGTTTTCTTTTTATTAGACTTCATTAATTGGGTAAAATACCCAGTGTCTCTTTCTCCGCATTCATAGTGTGATGCTCTAGAACGAATTTTAATACCTTCATTTATATAAT